TAAAATATTATATATATAAATTATACCCTATATTATTAATAATTTTTAATTTTATTTAAAAATTTGTAAATACTTTTTAATTTTCCAGGCAAATTTGCCTAGAATACGGTTTAAGGGATAATATTCTTAAAAAATAAATTTTGCTAATTAAAATACAAAGAATATACTGTAAAACTTAATATAAAATTTGTAAAAATAATTCAAATTATATAATTTTTGTTTTAAGTATTTTATACTCTATTGTTTTTAATAAAAATTTTATATCTTAATAATATATATGTTTATACTGTATAATAAAGAGTTAATTATATTTTTTTATTTAATTTAATATATACTATATAATTACTATATATAAAACTTAGTTATTAAATATGACCCATCCTGGCTTATAAAACGAAACCCTTTATCCCCTACTAAAAACAAGTATTTATTACTATTACAATTTATGTCTATGTTAAGCACTAAATAACAAGAATGGTCAACTAAAAAGATAATCAAGATATTCAGTACAAATTTCGATTCTAAACAGGAAAAAAAAAAAAAAAAAGGTTTTATACAAGTTGTATAATTTTTATTTTAATAAAATGAATGGTCTTTATTTTTATATATTGCGTATTAATTTAAATGTTTTGGAAAGTAATCCGTTGGGTAGATAGTGGTTTAAGTACGGATAAATACGAATGATGATGTTATAATTAAAAAAAAATGTAAACAAAAGGTTGTCAACTAAAAAAAAAGTAGTGATAACGGAAAAATAAAGAGAGTATAATTGGTAATTCAAAAAATAGAATAATTAAAGAGTAAAAAGGTTCGCTAATAATTTATTCGCGTAATCAATTCTTTAATTTTGGTCGATTAAAAATGTTCATGTTTTGATCAACATAAATCATGAATGTCGTGAATTATGAACAGACCATGATAATTAATAATATTAATCTTGTATAGTCGGTAAATAACCACGATTATTAAACATAGAAGCAGATGATGATGATCTTGAACGAGTGGCGAAAACTAATCCAGGTTGAGGAGGTAAATTTACAGCTGGTGAATATGGATCGTAGTATGATGATCTTGTTTCAGAGGCAATTGAAGGTGGTAGTTGTGAATTTGTAGGACTAGAAATTTTAGCCCAATTTGTAGATAAAGCCATATCTTGATCCGTTATAGAAGTTCTTCTTGATATCATTGAACCATTACTTGGGATACCATGAGAAGCTTGTTCTTTATTTTTTTGTTGTTGTTGATTCATTTTCTTTGCCGCTATCATAACTTTTAAAGCACGTATTTGTAAACCAGTTTGACGAGATAAGGCAGCAGTTTCATAAATCAAAGCAGCAGTAGTTGTATCTAAAAATTGGTGTAAAGCATGAGAAGTCAATTTTCGAAGACGATCGAGGTCATACATATCAGCGAGAAGTAAAAGTTGAGCTAAAACATGAGGTTGATATTGTTGAATGGTAAGAAGATGATCTGTATATAAATATTGTAAAAATGCTAAAGTGACAATATGAGATTCAGGGAATTCAAGAGCTCTATTTTTATACATTAATATAGATTCATCAACATTATCATTAGAATTCCGTAGAGCATCATTATTATCATCATAATTTAATTTTGGAGCTTTTTCCGATTGACTTTCAACTAAAGCTTTAAAATGAGGCCATCTCACAGATAAGAATTGAGAATTAACTGATATTCTTTGACCATCTTGAGTTATAATATCAAAATCAGCAGTACTAGGATTGTTCATCATAGTTAACCCTAATTCTTGAGATATTGGAGACATAGTAGTACGAGGGGATTGATAAATACCAAAAGCTTCTAAATCCACAACAGTAACATGATCAAAATTAGTTTGCCTATGATTATAATCATCTACAAGAGATCTATCACGATGACCAAGAACAATATATTGATTTGTTGAATCACAAAGAACACCTCTATTCCAAGAACCTTGAGAAAAACAAGAACCAGTATCAATACGAATCCAAAATAAATTTACTAAATTTAAAGCCCATATACTAAAAGTTTGACTAGAATTTGTAAGATAAGTTCCTGATATAATTAAATGATGACCAAGAATAGCACCAGTTGGAAATCTAAGACCAGGAGGTAAAAAAGCACCCGACATATTTGTAGAATAATCAGATATAATATAATTTTCAGATTTTGGAGGAGAAATGACTTGAAGTTCACGTTTAACATCAGTAAAATTATAATTAGAATATAAATAAATTGGATTTGGATTATCATCATTAACTTCAGTAGTAAAAGAAAGATGATAAAAAGAACTTCCAGAAGATTGAGATTGAATTCTTTTTATAGAATGAGAACGAAGAAGACTTTGACCAGAAGGAGATCTTCTTAAAGAACCAGGACGACCAAAAGCACCTACTGAAGGTAATTTACGTATAACATTAGAAGGAGTAGTAGGTAAAGATTGAGTAGAATTAGATTTTCTAAGAGGTAATGGAGGGGAAGAATCAGGGACATTAATTGGAACATCATCAAGAGAAGAAATTGAAATATTATCAATAGAGTTATCACCAAAAAGAGGTAAATTTGTACGATAAGTACTACTAACAGCAACAGATCGATAAGCACCACAATGCTTTTCAAAAGATTGAGAATAAATCCAGATCATATTAATTAAATCCAAAACATTAGTTTCCTCAATATAATAATTAGACATATCTTGACCACCTATTACAACTAATTTATTAGCAGTTACAGAAGCCAAATGAGCATATCTTGGACGAGGAGCAAAATCAGAAGGAGAAATAGTAGGATGTATCCAAGAAAAAGTATCTAAATCAAAAATTGACACGTCATCTAATACACATAAACCATCATCAGAAGTTCTTGAATAACCCATTCCACCAAAAATAACAATAGAATTATTGAATTGATTAGCTGAATGAAAATATCTTGGTTTTGGAGCTTTTTTTTCAGTGTCATATATTCTTGTCCATACAAAAGTGCACAGATCGAGTACATAAAGTTCATTGGTCATACGCCGTGAAGAAACAAGTCGACCAGCGAATAAATATAAGTTTGTACCGATGACAGTTGTTGAAGAACCTACAAGCGGTGGAGGAATGTCCCCCGTAGTTAAACGAGTTGACGCAGTCAGATCTGATATAGATTGAAGGCCTGAGTTTGCAGTCATTTTTTTTTTTTAAAAAAAAAAAGAGAAAAAAAATAAAAAAAATAAATCGGGGGAGGACGAGCGCAATTCAACCTAAAGAGTAAGCTTGTTGAAAGGGATAATTTTTCTTTGAAAGAAGTATTAATATAAATGCTATAAGAAAATTTTGAGATAAAATTGAATTGAAGTAATTGAAGTAGTTGAAGTAGTAGTAAAAAAAAAAACAATGAACACACAATTAATCAAAAATCTGCGTTTAAAAAATGGTACAATAATGATAATTGGAGCGGTAAAAAAGCAGGTAAATTTAAGGTTAGTTATTAACAGTATTAGACCTTGACCCCCATTGTATAAGTAAGTACAAAATCACCTGATACGTACAATTGGAAAAAAAACGTGTCTTGAACTTCGAATTAGTAAACCTTGAATTTTTTGGACTTTAAAGGATTTTCTGAAATGCAGAAATGCAGGATATGTTATGTTATTGTGTAATCGTAAAGTATTTTTTTAGTTCTGCTCGGTCAGGCTGGAATCTTTAAGTAGTATGGAACACGAAAATCGTTTTTCTCTAAACGTATTTATTTATTGTATTTATTTATTTTTTTTTTTTTTTAGATATCGTTTCATATATTCAGAGCGCAAGCACTCGGCCGGATATCTGGAATTATGAAATTCGAATTTAAAGGATTAAAAGACTAAAAGATTAAAAGATTAAAAGATTAAAAGATTGAGGATTAAAGGATTAAAGAATTTAAAGGGAAAAGACGACTTCAAGTCGTTAGAAAATTTAAATATCGTGTAAGTGTCGTACAACACGCGATTTTGAATAAATAGGAAGAAAGGAGTGTAGTATAGTGTTAAAGGGAGGTGATAACTCATATTAAGCACATGATTTTAAATGAATCGAAACTGGTTTTTTTTTTAGATATAATGATAAATACAGCTGTACTGTGGCAATTGAATTTATAGATTTATAGCACATTCCTTTATTTAATAGCGGAGTAAAAAATGGGGAACTTAAGTGTACATGTACATACGTACGCAATAACAATCTATTCTATTGGTAAATCAAGTAATAAAATTGTACACTAGTGTATGAAATTGCAAGACCGAGTGTAACATAAAATTATTGTTTTCTTATTATAAAATCATCATTCTTACAAACTTTTGATTTGTGTTAGTTGGTAACTCAATCAATAGAAATAATTCAAGTACGTAGCTTTTTTGATAAGATTTGTTTTTTTATAACTTTCTATTGGTATGTATACGTATCAGGTGATAAAGATTTGAATTTATATACCTTTTATAATTAAGATACAGTATATACAGTATTCTTTTGTTTGTAAATACGAACACTACTTATAACCTGTGTTGTACATTTTCGACTGTTTTTCTCTCGCCCCATCAAATATTTAAACTTATATTAAAAAGGAATACTATATACAGTATATACAATATATAAATTTTAAATTCTAAATATGTTTATTTAAATGCTAAAAGTAAGCTATCTTAATAAAAATTTGAGATATTGTTTTTTATAAAAAAAAGTCAATCTTACAGTATCTGTGTACAACACTGGTTTATAATTAAAAAAAACCTTTCTTTGTTTAAATCTTTTCTTTGTCAATTAGATTATTTGTAAATTTTAACAATCCAAAATATAGTTTATTTTCAAGTTTACCTAAAATATACCATAAGTGCTAAACACCATAATTGGTATATTGTATTTCAAATACCAAGCAATTATTGATATATATTGATATATATTGATATATATTGATATATATTGATATATATATTGATATATTGAGTACGTACATACTTTCCTACTCGAAGTAAAAATATTTTAACCCTTGCTCTAATCCCACTTTCTAATTACCCAAACTTACCCGCAAAAAAATTTATAATAAATACTGTAATAAATAACATATATTTTTTATATTTCACTATTTCTTATTTAGTATAAGATAAGAAAATACTGGCAACCAAAAGAGTGCATTTTTAACAAAATAAAAATAAAAAATCTTTTAACTATATAGTTATTATATGTACTACAATATTATTATAGATAGCGAATCTATAACGATAAATAATACTATTCTACTAATTAAATTAGCGTTAAAAAATAAAAAAAAACCGACTATTTGTAATATAATATCTTAATATGACTAGATTTGAAATTTCTTGGATAATATTTTTTTGTGGTAAATTAAACTCTGCAAATTATATATTCTCGTATACTTTCTAAAATTCTGAGTTAGTTATATAAATACCTCGAATATTCTACAAATCCTGATTAACGATGTACAGTACATTTTTGGAACATTTCGGATATATTGTATTTTAGAGTAAAAAATTTTATTATCCTTTCCTATAATTCATGGTTATTCCGCGTTATCTGTGACACTAGAATCTTTCTTGCATTGAACGTAACCAACAAAATAAACATCACAAGGGCGATCGTGAGAATGCGGGTATTTGAAACGTCGATCCAAGGGATGCAGCGTATGAGAAATGAAGCGCTTTTAGTTTAGGAGATGTATAATAAATCTTTACTGCCGTTTTCAAAAATTTGTTGAAAGACACTATACCATGGAGAATTCACGATATTTTCCAGATTTCCAGAGTTTTCAAGTCCCGCTCTAATCGGATTTTTAATTTTTACTAAGCAGGATTTCCACGATTTCCTACATGGATGTATGGGACACATCTTTTTGAAAACAACTGTAAAATAGTAATTGAAATGTGTGAGTGAAAGAATTCGGGCTCGAATAAAGCTCGAATCATGTGATTGATATTAATTTATTCGGTTACGTATCACTTCGTAGAAGTTTATTTCCACTGACACCTTGTTTCACAGACAATCAGTTTATTTTAAAGATAATTAATTTACAGACAGTTCATTTTATAGACAGGCCATTTTATCGACAGTTTATTTTATAGACAATCTTTAATAGCAAATAACTTCTGAATCAGTGTTAAAGATTGTCTACAAAATGAAATGTCTAAAATGAATTGTCTATGAAATGAACTGTCTGTAAATTAATTGTCTTTAAAATAAACTTGTCTATTAATTGATTGTCTGTGAAACAACCTTCTACAAAATGATACGTACCCAATTTATTCGAATCACGAAAATTTAGCTTACCTCTAACAACTGCGGACTCATGAATCTGCAAATCATGATTCGAATCGTCACGAGTTGACGAGTCTAGTCACAAGCTGGATTATGTGTGATGCCTAACAAGAAGAGCATGACTTAAATGCTATGAGATCTCTTGGGTTATATTGTCATTAATGTTGGATATAGTTATTAATAATAATTGAAACTTTAACCATTCCATTCAGTGTTAGAGATCTAATGTTCCTAATGTTCCCGGGAACATTTAAAAAAAATTTAGGATCACTAGATTTAGAATTATGTTCCTTTTTAGGATCAAAGTGGGAACATAAAAGCTATAATCTATGTTCCTATAGAGAGAGAGAGAGAGAGAGAGAATATATTTATTATATTTATTATAGGATCAATAAAAATTTTTTAGGAACATAAATTTAATAACTTATGTTCCCGAAGAACAAAAAAAAAATTTTCAAATCTTTTTCACTGATTCCATCATCACCTAAGTATTTATGCGTTCTTAATTCTTCATTAAAAGAACTAGAAATGAGATCAAATATGATATGATCAATTGCTTGATTAAATTGATCTTAGTCTAGCGCTAGTACTTTATTCGATTACAAGGATGATCGATCACATACATGATAAATCATAAATGTCGAATATAATAATTATACTTTTACGTACTCTCAATTATATACTATATTAATAAATTCAGATAAATTAGTATATTCTTTCTTGTTCGTAGATTTAATTGATATGAATGAATAAAATTATTTGGGTAAAATATTAATAATATTAATCAATTCTAATTTTTTGAGCAAAATTTTTGATCATAACATTATGCAAAATACAGTAGAATTAGGAATTGAAAAAAAAGTGAGTTTAGATGATGATTAAAATTGATATGGGCGGTTTATATAACTGCCAAGAAAATATTCTATCCGAGTATAAATAAATTACCCGGTTAACCGGGTAATTTTATTATATATATCTATAAATAACATTTTCTACCCGGGTACAATCTCTAGTTTTATAAGTATATAGACAAAATAGAATGGATATAATGATAAAAGTATGTACGTAAAATAAAGTTAAGTAGTTACAGTATACTAATTACACAATGTTATTAATTTGAAATTTTTTATTGAAATGACTCCAATACACTTTCTTTTCTACACAAGTCGAACTTTAAAATTTCGATAAGATTTAGCGAGATATCAACGGAATATTGGACGTTATAAAGCTGATAACGACCAGATATTTGGCGCGTATTGCAACCTATCGAATAGATATCGCATCCGATAGGTTATTAGATATCTGATACTTCTGTCGTAAAATATCGAATATTTGATATTTTGTTAATAGAATTGCCAGATCTCTAATATGCCTATCGGATGCAATATCTATCCAATAGGTGGCAGTAGCTATCAGCTTTTATAAACGTCTGATATTCCACTAGTATCTCTCAGAAATCTTGCCGAAATTGAAGTTCGGCTTGTGTTATTTTTAACAAATCAAAAATTAATATTTTATACAAGTCATGTTTTACATCTTCCAATACGGTCTAATTTATTAATTAACAATATTTTATTTAATATTATAAAATTATTTGTCAGTTGTTAATTAAAATACAGTATATAGAGATAGCATTTAATTGATTTGAATAAAAGCAAAAATATTATATTTATAATTTCAAAATAACCACATAGTAATTATATAAATATTTTTTATATACTGTAAATTATTGTGTAAGTTATTTTATTGTAGCATAAAAAAATAAGAGTTTAAAATACTGTAGTAGGTTGTTTTAAAAATTATACGGTATACGTATAAACTTTTGTATGGCGATAGTACACGTACAGTTAAACCCGATTCTAAACTAATAACTTGTCAAATCTGA